CCCCCCCCCACCCAGCAGAGACACAGATTCATTTGGTAAGCCTTGTGTCCTCAGCTGTGCTGAGCGTTGACCTAGGGCATTAAGCTTGTGATTGCAATGGCACTGATAGTGCTGTATGTAGGTACTCTGCAGTTAATGCATTCTCACCCTCAGTCCAGAGGAACGTTGTATGTTGGATCCAATAAATCATGCTGTTCCAGAATCTGAATGGTTCTTCTAAATGCAGCCAGACCTGCAGTTCATAGACTGTTTGTGCATCTGGAGTCAGACCTGTAGTTACATTTTTACAACACTGGTGAACAGCAGTTGACCAACTGAGGCTTGGTGCCTACCTGAATGTGGGCAGTCAGTTCTCACCTTCTTCTGCTTCTTGGAGATATGTGGGTTTATGAAGCATGTTTTCTACACACACTTATCCAAAGGTCTGCTTCAGATGTAGATAAAGACAGTAAGATGTCTTGACAAGTGCTTGACCTAAGTGGTGAAATGGAGCTTTTCTTGCCTCAGCTGTTGTGCTTGGGTGTAATGTAACACTGCAGTGAGGTAGGGTGGGGGTAGCTGTGCCATAGGGTTCCATGAGGGATGTGGCACCCTGCTGGTCCCTGTTTTGAGAGCATGAGCCAGCTCTCCCTGTTGTGTTCCAGCTGCCCTCGCACACGCAGGTACAGCCGGGGTCACTGGTGTCTGTGCGGGGCAGGCAGCACCACCTGAGCCTGCTCTCAGGAAGGTCAGGTAGTTAAAACATTATACACCAATCCTGCAGCTCTAATCCTGGGGGATTATCTTACATTTGGCTATGAATCTGGGGCTGTGAGGGAGTAAATCTGTTCCTGTAAGTCAGCAGATCCTCATAATTGGCAGTGGGACTTCAGTTATTATCACGTATCTTCAAGAAGTAATTAAGAGAAAATTCTAATTGATAGAGCAACTGGACTGATTAATTTGGTTAAAAATCAGAATTTCTGTTTGAAATTGGAAGACACATGTTTTAATTATAATAACATTGTAGTTTTATGCCAGGGTATGAGAAAATTCAGATTTTTTTTCCCCCAACACAGTCACTTGATAGATGCTTATTTTAAATTAAATTATATTAATGGTTAATTATGTTACATTTCTGTAGATTAACACCTGTGCAGCCTGATTGGCCCAGGGAAAACCCAGTCAGGTTATAGTACGTATTGAAGCAAGATGTGTGGGGAAAATCAGGATTCAAGTTAACAGTTAGAATCATCTGTTTCTGTAATTTACACGAGGAATAGCAATTGTCTGCTTTTCTCTGACGTTGGACTAATGATAACCATTAGCTACTAAGTCATCACAAGTCAAATAATAAAAAGCTAAGCCTCTGACAGGAACTGATGCTCAGAGATGTTTATGTTCAGTATGCTGTATGGCTGAGCTTCTGTTTTCTGTAGAGTAACAAGGCACACCTACCATGGGGATAGAAGAATCAGTAAAGTTGCGTGTTGGAGTGTCTTGGGTTTTCATCTCCCACTCTGCATTCTTGACATTGGGGCGTTATTTTGTTATCTGAATATGCATCCTGGAACACGATTTTGAACATTCAAACCTAATTGAAAGTAGTTAGAGTAGACCATGTCCACAGACTTTGAGGGAGAAGTGAATAAAACGAATCATACTGTGAGCATGGGTGAAGAGAAATGAAAAATTTGGTTTTGTCACTCTTCATTTTCAGAGGAAAAGTTCCTAGGTTTTAAGTGTCCGTGTTTCATCTGCCAATATAAGGAGGTGGTGATAGCTGGAAGAGCATCCCCTCGCTCTGCCCCTACCTCTGACCTGCAGAAAGAGGCTTTGCTTGCCAATGAGAAACTAAAATGGAACATGCATAGCTGCAGAAAAAGCTAACCTGGTTTTGGCATAATGAGCTCAAACTTGATTAAAATTCTTTTATTAAATCACAGCTGAGTAAGTAGCCATAGAGTAATGACTGGAATGTGTCCTCTATCTGGAAGGACTCTGCTGAGCACGTAGTACGGCTCAGTATATGAGCTGATTCATTTGTATTACTGCAGTCATGCTGAAATTCACACTGATGCATGGTTCATGTCATACTTCTGTAGTTCTGTGCACACTTTTTATTTTTAAATTAAGTAATCTGGCTTTTATAATAGAATTTTGATTTTCAGATGTACCTTTTAAATGGTAGGCAAGCTGAACAGCAGCTCTGTTGAGCAGAATGACAGTGTGTTTGCAAGGAATTTTTTGTTTTGCTTGATTTATTCAACCAAAGATTAGATGCATGTGGCTTTCTTTCATAGGTTCTGATAGCGTTGATAATCCTCATAATGATTATAATCATCACCTTCAGTAACCTGTCTGGCAGAACCCAGGGGCATAGGTTTAGTCTTCTCTGCTCTGTTCTTTAGGGCAGAAAAGTAGTAAACAAGTACAGAGGAGTTGTGCCACTTCTTAATGGATCTTTGGTTGCTACTTGAAAGTACATTTCAGGATTTACTGTAGTATTGTACTTGAACCGATCTAATCCTTTGTGAGCACTTACTCATAGTGTGTGCATCTCTTGGCCTGTGTTGTAAGGACTTAAAATGAAGTACCTAGAAAATTCAAGTTTTTGTATTTGAAGAGCTTTGAAGATTAGTGACAGGATTCCTGGTAACAGGTCTTGGAAATCTGGAAGGTTTTAAATAAGTCTGTTTTGAAATTCTTTGTTTACACTGGAAAATAACGTAGGCAATATTTGGATGGGGGGTATGGGCATTGGGAAGAATCTAAGGTTGCCTGTTTCCTTTGGGATCATGTTGGATGGAAGCTTTACATTTTTTAAGAAGGCTGAGCAATTTCATTTTTCACCGTTGGCCTCAGCGGTGTCTGAGATGCCATTGAATGTTTGCAGCATTTTACAGCAGGTGGCAAGTCTTCCCACTCCATATTCTGTTGGCTATGCTGTTTATTCCCCCAGTGCTTCAGAAGGTCCTTTCCTGCCATCAGGATCACGGTGTGCTGTGAAAGGTCATTCAGCTGGAGGAGGGCCGTAGTCTCACTGTCCTGGAGAAAAGAACAGCGTTCATTTTCTTGACCCAACACCGCCACTGTCAGTAGTATGGAGATGGATGAATTAAAACAAATTAGGTGTTTAAATTTGAGAAGCTTTTAGTTTTGTTCACAAGGTTGAAACAGAAGGTTTTAAATTTCTGTAAGTGGAGTACATCATTTCCACCCCGCAAAGCTTTGAATGAGAAAGTAGAAGTAATAAAAGTTTTTGTAAGTTAGGAAATCAGTACCTCTGCTTTCTTAAAGTTATGGTTCTTAGTGTTTAAAAAAAGTCACCTGTCTTTCCCTGGGCAATAACAGAACTGAGGAAAAATGTATCTATTTTGCCATGAGGAATAACTCAGATGCTTTGCAGAAGAATTACTCTTAAGACATTACAGTTAAATGTACTGTTGCCAAAATTAAAAAATTCAGTTATTGATGGTCTTACTAAGATCATAGTAGTTTACAAACTCATAGCAGTTTTGTGATGACTGCTATGTTTCTGAAAAAATATTTGAAAAAGAGGGAAAACCAGAAAGCCTTTTAAACCAAACCCCAACCACATGGTGTGTCCTGTGTATGGTCCAAAGGCAAATACTTAACCTGAAGGTTTCAGCATTCAGGGGGCTTACCTTCATGAAGAGGATAAATTTCAGATTGTGGGAGAATTTAGTCCTACAGAAGTAGTGAAAATTTGGTTGTTTCACAGTACAGATAAAATTTTGTGTTTTAAAAAAAACATGTTTTCTGATAACACATCGATTCATTTTGTTTCATTTGTTACTTTAGGGACAGTGAATAAACATTTTCTTAATAAGAAAAAAACACATATTATCTTCACTGATCCAGTCTTTATTGTTGGACATGAAGAAAAGTGAGTCTTGTTTTTAGTAAAAATAGCCTTCTGAGGGACAGCAGTGTGCTTTGACCCACTGCCAGAACAAAGCAAAACTAGAGCTGGGTATTAAAAAGGGTTTGAGGTCCTCTTTGAGCCTTGTGGATCCATCTGCAGTCCCAGCTTTTCTGTCCTTGACACTGTAATATCAGGGATATCTTCTTTCAAGTGCTCTATGTCCTGGGGTCAGGAAGAAGAGTCTGGTTCAGCATCCATCCATGCATCCATCTCGCCTGCTGGGTTGCACTTACCCACACACTGTTCTCTCATCCTCGGTGTTTCAGCTGAGCATGAAGTAGTTTCTTCCACAAACTACTGCAGACTGCTTGCTGCTAATTTCATTCAGCTGCCTGAGAGGCAGCTGTGCTTCTGTGTGCGTGACACTACAAAGAAACAGACAATGTAAGATTTTTTTTCACCTTATTTTGAAGTATATATGCCTGCTGGTGGATTTGTGATAATACTCATGATGTGCAGTCTATACAGAAGGAAGTTTGCTTTACTCAGCACTTAGAATAAGAACCTTTGCATTTGGTTACCAGAGCAGTGTCTAAGGAGAGCTTGTTAGAATAGCTGTTTGTTAGGATAAATAAGTCCTTTGTGGGAATGGCCTGTTCTTGATGATTGATTTGCTGAAGAAAACCATTTTCAGCTTAAAAATGAAATATCTGCCGAAAGGAGTGGAGAGGGGGAGTTCATGTTTGCACAGAGCCTGGAACAGTTCAGTGAACACTTCCTTGATCCTGGATCTATCCAGGATCTTGCTTTGGTCAGAGATACTAAGGTGCCTTTAAATTCAGGCAAACAGTGGCGCAGGACTGGTGTAAAACTGGAAGACAACCTGAGAACAATTGTATTTACTGTTGTGGGGGTTTCTGGTCATCTTAGTGACTTCATCCACCCTTATCAATGATTTCTTGTAAGGCAAAAAATACCCCCCTTGATGTCCTGATAAAAAGATGATTTTCCCAAAACTGCCAGACACCTACTTTTTATCAACCACTCTCAGTGAATATTGCAACAACAATAACAGGCATAACAATACAGGTACTGGCTTGCAGGTATATGTAGATATGTAAAGATAATTGCAGGTCTAATAATTGTAAGAAGCTATACAGCTTCTCTCCTTCCCCTCCCCACCCTTTTCTCTCTTTAAAAGAGCAGTGCTATGGTGTGGTTTTTTATCTGTCTTCAAATGTTGGCATATCAAACCTCTAGCAACATGGTGAAAGCACTTCGTAATTCTGTTGCCTTTCTCTTTTCTAATAGTCCTTCTACATATTCCTTTAAATTATTTTGTTTTCCATGCAGATTGCTGGTTGGAGCTCCTCGGGAAAAGGCCTTTCCAGCCCAACAAGCCAACAGAACAGGAGGGCTGTACAGCTGTGACATTGCATCTCCAAATACAAATTGCCTGCGTGTCAAATTTGATGAGGAGAGTAAGTTCTTTAGTGCTTTTGTTTTGAATTGAAACAGTTGTCTGATCGTTCTTGTTTGATGTCCTTTCCTGAGGCACTGTATCAGAGAGTTTCTTCTAGGGATTTATACATAACAACTTTTTGCATCATAGTAAGCTGTAGCTTAATTGCAAAGTCACTACGAGATGCTTAAATCTTGGTAGATTCTTACTGTTTTGTAAGTTGATGTAACATGAAGTAATAGAAGAGAAGTTTAATAAAATGGATGCTGTTAGTGATAAAACGTACAGACACTGCCACCTGCAGACTATCTGGTGTTCTGTATGAACAGTCTACCCTGACATGGGCTTCAAGAAAAAACAAACAAAAAATGAAAACCAAAACCAACCAACCAAAAAAAACCAAAACCAATAAACAAACACAAAAAAAAACCCAGAAAAAAGAAAATGTCGCGAACTGTTAATATTTGAAGCTGTTTTATGATACTTTGCAGCTGACCCAAGGATGGAGAGTAAAGAAGACCAGTGGATGGGTGTAACTGTCCAGAGTCAAGGGCCTGGAGGAAATGTGGTGGTAAGTGCTAGAGGACTAACTTACAAAAATGTCTGGGGTATACAGTACATGTTCTGAATGGTCTGTGTTTCTGTGCAGCTTGCTGAAAGGTAACTTGCCTAAGTTTACTCTTTTGATTTCTTGTAGGTAAGGACTTAAATGTCTCCTTAGCAAAATAAGGCATTTGAGATTGTAAGAGCTTTAAATTATTTTTCTGTGAGTTAGCCTCTCTTTATAACTTTTTTAACAGTCTAGGATGGCCAGTTTATTTTCAAGAGGTACACGAGGTACACTGTTTTTTTTTTGGTCATACACACATTTTTTCTTTTAAATACTACTAGCTGCAGAAATAGAGAAGAATGGCATATAAGGCTGTAAAAGTAAGAGGTTATCACCAACCTGTTTTCCAAGATGATGAGCCTCACTTCAGCTTTTATCAGGGACTTCCACTGAGTAGTTCTGTGAATTAATGTGGTCATTGCACTGCAGTAAGACTACTTGCTATTCTTTATTTTATGCAATACATTGGTACTTTTTATTTTATATTAAACAGAAAAGGTTTTTGGGAGTTATGAGAGAAAGAGTTTAAAAAGTAACATTCTCAGTTAAATAAAAACCTCTTGTGCTACAGGATACCAGACACATCATAAAACAGGTGTGCAGTGAAGCTTCCTCATCTAATTGGAGGTTAATGTCACTGCTTCCAAACCTGGGGGCAGGTGACTTCAGGATGTGGATCTGGTTATTTAAGCATTTAGAGGCAGTAATAACTAGCTTTGATCTGCCTCAGAACCCAAAGTGGGAAGGAACGCATGGAAACAGTCCTGTTCACTGAATAATCAGTCATCAACTAATGCTATCTTGTCTTTTCGTGGTAAGTGGGGAGTGCACTTCTTAGTTGGGGTGTGAGCAGCCTGGAGGTCACTGCAGCAGGACAGTATTGCAGTGCTCTACTGTGGGGCAGCTGGGTGTTTGCATAACATTCAGGCCTTGATAGGAACCATAGAAGAGGTTTGTCAGCTGAGATAAACTTTGCTTGTGCTCTTCACACAGCCTGCTACATCTGAGTCTTCCAGAAACACTGCTGTCCAAGGCATTTGATTGTTCAGGTTTTTTTACAATGGTTTGGTGGTTACACTGCTTAGCCAGTGGCTGTTTGTCCTTTGTGTTAAATATTTGATGAGAATTCTTTTCCCAGGGGTAGTCTGAAAGAATAAGGAACAGGATGTGTTTAGTGCTTCAGCTCTGCTCCAGTGACATTTACCCTGTAAGTGGAACATCCAACAGAGGAATAGGAGCAACTTCCCTCCCCTCCACTGGAAAAGCTTTCAGCCTCTGCTTAGTGGCACTTTTCTGTCAGGGGGAAGTTCTGCATAGTCTTGGGTAGATGGTAGTTGAACCAGCTTCTTGTGTCCTGCACGGGTGTGTCAGTCCTTTGACAGCTGTTGGGGAACAGCCACTTCTTTCTTTGACAGAAGGTGGTTTTCTCCTTACTTTTTGAAAGAGAGGGATTTGGTATCAGGAAGGGCTTTAGGGATTTAACCCTGTGGCCTTCCTTGACCATGAAGCAGACTGCTTTGCCTTGTATAGGTCGGTGCCCAACCTTTCCCATGTGTTGCCTGTAGAAAACATTGGATGCTGCACTTAGGTGTGTCTGCAGGGTGCCTTACAGCGTTGGTAGCAGGAGGGACTGCTGGAGGAGCCCTGCCTTCTGTGGTGACCCATGTCCCACACACAGAAACATCAACATCATTTCTTCTGTCTTGCAGACGTGTGCGCATCGCTATGAGAAAAGGCAGTATGTAAACACAGTGCAGGAAACCCGGGATATCATTGGAAGGTGCTATGTGCTGAGCCAGGACCTCACTATTAAGGATGATATGGATAATGGAGTGTGGAGTTTTTGTGATGGTCGTTTAAGAGGCCACGAGAAGTTTGGTTCCTGTCAGCAAGGTGTTGCTGCTACTTTTACTAGAGACTATCATTATATTGTGTTTGGTGCCCCAGGCACTTACAACTGGAAAGGTATGACTTGGCTTCCTTCCTGCCTACCCTTCCCATTTCCTCTGAGATTGCTCTCAAAGGTTGCATCCAGAGTTTCAATTATTTATTTAGGGGAGAGTTGATAATAGGGATGTAATGATTTTACCCTGTTTTTACAAGATGCTATGCTTCTGTGTCAACATTTACTGAAGTTTCTTTAAATATCTTGGTGTGTATTTATGAATAATGGAACTTTGCACGTATGTACAGCAAATTTTTCCCTTATTAGTGGGATTGAGGGCTTATTTGGACACTTCCATACAGGAACAAACTACTAACTTTGTATGAGTTACTTGACCAGCCCTTTTTCTGCATTTGAGCAAATGTTAGATAGCTGCTGAACTCTTTGTTTATTCTGCAATATTCTCTCCTTTATTATTTGTGAAGCTTGTGGAAGCCAGTACTTTCCAAAATAAATACTGAAGGATTGCAGGAAGATAACAGCAATACTACATATATTCATATCTAAATCCATGCATGTCCATGTAAAATTTCATGGATAATCTAAGAGCCAAGTACTCTGTGTCATCTAGGAGATTCTCCAAAACATAAGGGGAAATAAACCGTGGACATTCTTTGTTAGTTGACATTCAGAAGCATCTAAATGCCCAGTTCAGTCTCTAGAAGTAATTTTTCCCATCACACTTCATTACCCCAACAGCTGTAAATACTTTCCTCTTGAGAACATGTGATCCTCCAAGCACTGCATTTTTCCCCCTCGTACACCTGTGCCTGCTGCATGAACCGTGTAAAATCAGTGTGTTAAGCTCTGGCACAAGGTGTACTTTAGTGAAAACTTAATCTTCCACGTATCTGTCAACAAAATCTGACTGACCTGAAACAGCATACTGAGTGCAGACAACATTTTAGTTTAATTGCAGAGAAGTGCTAGTACAATCCTAACAGTACTCTTCTGTGTAATGGAAAAACATGTTTGTGCTTGCCAAAACCCTAATTATGCCAATTGATAAAAGGGAAGCACACCTTTTATTGAACAATAGCTTTTTTTCTTCTTAAATGTACTGTTTCTAAGTATAATGGTGGTGTTTGTCAAAATGAAATGTAATTTTTTTTTAAATTCCTGTGTGATTACCTCCTTTTTAAGAGAAGCTTTATAAGGCTAAGAAATACAGGATGAGGGTGGTTTATGACCAACCAGTTCAGTGGGGGTTTTTTTTGAGAATTTCCTTAGTATCCCATGTTTCCAGATCCTTGTATGGCTTCTTTGTAGAGCAGCATGAGCTTCTGGCACACAGAACAGAGACAAACACTAACCCAGTGCACTATTCTGTGTTTGTCCCATTTTAACAGCAGTCACCATGTCATTCATCATAATTAATATAAGTTGGGAACATTCATTTGTTATTTTTCTCACTTATCATTTATTTGCTTTTATTTTATCATTTCATTTTTTCAGGGGTGGTTCGTGCAGAGCAAAAGAATCAGACATTTTATGATCTGGGTATCTTTGATGATGGGCCTTACGAAGTTGGTGATGAGAGCCGCCAGGATAAGAATCTAGTTCCTGTTCCAGCTAACAGTTACTTAGGTAGGATTAAGTACATGTGGTAAATCTCTTTAGGTCTCTTAAACATTTGTGATCCCAGCCTGGTGTGATGATCTGAAACGGGAGCAGATGTTCCATTGTGGACCCTGTAACATGTTAACTCTTTGGGATAATTCACAGCCTCTCTCCACATTTATGGGCCAGTTTTAAGTGTAAGATGATACTGCTGAGGTACCTAGAAGAGCTGCTGCTGTAATGTGAGATTCAAGAGCTGTGCCTAGAGCCTGTGGAATCTCCAGGAGTGATTATAATCACTGTGATGGGTCAGTACAATGAATGGGTCTGTAGACCTTAGTTACACAGTCTCTGCTACGTACTATCAGAAAGTTTTAAAAATTTGAGTTTCTGTTAAGTAACTGTTAAGGTTGTAGATTTTTTTCTCCTGGTAGGTAAGTGCAATTCTTCTGTTCTTCATGTTTTTAAAACTCCAGTGGCTTTTAACAGACCTTTAAAATGCCATAATATAAATACTGTTTATATTTTACTTGCGTGTCTGTTGCAGGAGGTGAATCTCTTGCTCTTTGTGCAGTCAGGAAAGCAGGAATATGTCCTTAGGCCAATGACCTTGGTGTACACCAGGGAGATCCACTGAAAAGGCTATGCTTCATTTTTGGAAAGGCATTAAGTGTAAAGAATCCTTCTGTTCCAGTGCAGATTTCTGTGGTGTGTTGATCCACTGCTTCTGGCATATGCAACAAATAGAGTTTTGGTAACCTGAGACTGGAATTTCTGTGTGAGTGATGGAAAGCTGAATAGATGGGAAAGGCATTGCTAATGTAAAAAGTAAAAAAGCAAGTCAAGAAGAGAGGAAACTTAGAGCTACATCTATGTTAGAGAAAGAGAACATAAACTTCTGTTAAATATCAGCAATAATTACTGGGTGTAAAGGTAACTAGAAAAATCATCCTAAGAGCTTAGATTAGACAAGCTGATAGCATCTTCTGGTGGAGTAAGCATTGAGAAGTGCTGTGGAGGCCGATGCCTTTTGCTGTGAACAGTCATACTCTCTTTTTCCAGTTGTGTAACCAATGCATTTCTCTCCTAAATGTAAATGTGGCCTTGATTTGTAATAATCAGAACCACTTCAGGCAAGCCAGCTCATCCCAGGCATGACTGTTCTGTCTGTTTAGACCGTAAGCAAATGTGGTTATAGGTGCTTTGCTTAACTACTTTTTTTTTTCTCTTCAATCTTTCACTCGTATTTATAGGTCTTCTATTTTTGACAGCTGTATCTGATACTCATCCAGATCAGTTTGTGTACAAAACATTGCCTCCCAGCATACAGGTGGACAAGTCAGTGGATGTAATGATGAATAGCTACTTAGGTTTGTGACCACTTGAGGTGGCAGCATCTGGTCAGACTTAATCTCCAGACCTTTGTCATGATCCTCTCCCCTCTATCCCCTCTCATATCAAATATATTATAAGTAAAGCATGAAAGAAACAGGGATTCAGATAAAGGGGAGACAGTAAAGTAACAAGGCTTCAGAGAAATGATGATTTATCATGCACTTCTCCAAACCTTCTCATCCTTCTCCCAGCTGAGACTCCCTCAGTTTTTTCTGGAACTGTCTCATTGTGAATTGCTGTAATTGAGAATTTCCACAGTAGTGGTGAAGTGTTTCAGAGGGAGACTCCCATCTGGCTGGTATCTTCCTTCCTTGCAAAATGGGCATTTTTCTACTTTGGCCTTTACTGGCTATATTGGTATATGCAGTATTGTCTATTAACTTGGTTTTTCATATTTTAAAATGTATTGTAAGACTAAATTAATTTGAACATGCCATTTTTAGGGCTGCATTAACTGAAAATTGCTCATTTCACCATTACTGTGTAAGCTGATTCTCAAATACTGCATACATCATTCATAAGAGAATGCTCGTGCAGAACAGTTTGCATGTTTGTCATAGAACGATACTGACTTTACTTAGGAGGTTTTCTGATAATTTTGCCAGAGGTGAAGTACTCAAGCTATATTCAAGTGGTAAAGCTGTAATTGTGTCCAAGCTGTACGTATCCTGTGTTTGGTGTCAGTGAAAAGCAGGTCCAAGTGAGCAATGAAGTACTGTGCTGTGTGGGGAAATACTAACTGTAATGTATGGAGGAGTGTTTGTGGGAACATACAAAAGTGTTGACTTGCAAATATGCATCCACCAGTGCCAACAGAAAAGGGGAATTCCCAGCCATAGCACACTGTATTTTAGACAAAACTTGTATTCCATATACCACTTTAATATAGCTGGGGAAATGTAATTTTTTCATATTACGATGCAAGCTGCTACTCAGTTAATTTATACTTTATTTCTTTCTCTGTTAAAGGTTTCTCTTTGGACTCTGGTAAAGGAATTGTCTCCCAAGATGAGATGACTTTTGTGTCTGGTGCCCCAAGAGCAAACCACAGCGGAGCAGTTGTTTTACTAAAAAAAGAAAAAAATCAGAGAGCACTTTCCCTGGAGCACATGTTTGAAGGAGAAGGGCTGGCTTCCTCTTTTGGCTATGATGTTGCTGTTGTGGATCTCAACAGTGATGGGTATGGCTGTGGTTAACTCCTGCTGCTTGTATAGTAAAGGATAGTGATCTTGTTTATTTCTGCTTTGGTTTTTCACATTAGAAATATAAAGAATGACAAAGCCCACCTTCCATGCTTTCCTGGAGGAAATGGTGAGCGTCTTGAGAATCAATCAGGATAGAGTCTACCTTTCTAATAAAGAGTTTTATTTAAACAGTTATTGTAAACAGAGAAAAAAGAAACCAGTCTCATACCCCAAGAAGACCATAGAAGGTCTCTGTATGCTGTTAAGGGAGTAAACCAGCTTGCAGTGTCAGTGGGGCTGTTGATGCCTAACCAGTTAATGCACATTTTAGTCTTTCTTCAGCAGCTCTCTGGGCAGCTGATCTTGAGATCACAGTCTGAACAGTTATTCTTCAGAGTTCTTCTACAAAAGCATTGCCTTTTTTTTCTTTTAACTCTAAGCTGGCAGGACATCGTTGTTGGGGCCCCGCAGTACTTTGACAGAAGCGGGGATATCGGGGGTGCCGTGTACGTCTACGTGAACCGCCAAGGCAAATGGGCAGGGGTGAAGCCTCTCCGCTTAAACGGAACCACTGACTCCATGTTTGGAATTGCAGTAGAAAATGTTGGGGACATTAATCAGGATGGATATCCAGGTAAATGGAAAACAATGACAATAAAAATGTGTGAGATTGTCTAGCCAATGCCAGACTTGCAACGTCTTACCCTTCGATTGCATGCTGCAGAAAGAACAAGAATGATTTTAGATGTTACAACTTATTTTCACCAGATATTGCGGTAGGGGCTCCATATGATGGTTTTGGCAAAGTATACATTTATCACGGATCCAAGAATGGAATAAATACAAAGCCAGCACAGGTAATGAAATAACCTTTACTGTATAATTATATAATTATTCTTGAACAAAATTAAAGCAATGACAGGGCTACTATCCATCTTCCTTTCCGTTGCTATTACTGGGGTGTTGGGTGCACAGGAAAGTCGCAGGGCCCTTCAAAGATTGCACTGCTGACAGGAAAGATTAGGAGTTCCTGACATTAACATATATTTTTATTTCTGGGGCTGTCCATTGTCACCAATAATATGTGCAGAAGGAAAAAGATGTATAGATAAATAAATTCTGGGTTTTAAAAAAAAATCTGGTGATTTGAAAACAAGTAGTTTCTTTGTTTCTTTCTTTTATTACTACTATTTCACTTCCTTCTTAAAAATGTTTGGTTATTTGTTGTTGGTTGGTTTGGTTTTTTTTGGTTTTGATTTGAGGGTCACTATGTCCAATTTGCAGGGTGGGAATGGAACTTCATTATACTCCCTAGAATACTGCTTGAATACTTTACAGAATACTTCTTCTGTTTCAAGTGTTTATAGTCCATAAATACTGTAAATGAAGATGAACTACGCTCTCGCAGATCAGTAATTTCTGGTACTCACTTCTATTGCCAAGTAACTTCTTGGAAGAAGAGCAAATCATCCTGGCACTTCAGTATCCTTTAGCTGTACTGAACACAGAGGTCCTATTTCACAGGTCCTATTTCATTGTATCTCTCTCCCTCTTTTGTCTCTGGCTGTAAGACAGTTAATGTGCACTTGTTACTTATTTTACCTTTATCACTTTTAAATGTCTGAATTCCCTCAATCTGTTTGCTTTTTAGATTCTTGATGGTGAAAAAACAAACACCAATTTCTTTGGCTACTCTATTGCTGGAAATATGGACCTGGATAAAAATTCCTACCCTGATGTTGCTGTTGGTTCCCTGTCAGATTCTGTAAACGTGTACAGGTATTATATATGGAACCTTAATTAACTACACCAGGGCTTTGGGACAAACAATTTTACTTTTCAGGCAGAACAGCCCTTCTTACAATTTATGCTCCCATCTCTAAGATGTATAGTTGGTGTGCACATGATAGTAATGTTCTTAAATACACTGGAACAGCGCCTGAGAAAAGCAACTCACATGGCTTGTGGAAGAGAACAGAGTAGGTGGTAGAGGAGTTGGTCAGATTATTTAGCATTCTGCTTACTCAAAAGGAGCTTTAATCTTTTGCTGATTAAGGCAGGACAAAAACTTTTACCAAGGTGAGAACAAAAACCTCTTATGGTGACAAACAGTGAAAGGAGTGGCTCAGTTAAAGGCAGCAGGTGGCTTACAGCTATTTTAAACAACCTTTTGATGCTTTAATGAGAACAGGATCAGCTCATTTGTTCCTTCATGTAAAATATCTTCTCACTTCCATTAAAGAGAAAGGACAAGTTGTCAGGCAGCAGTATGGTTACAGCCTACATGCAGAGGAAGCAGGAAATATAAAAATTAAAGCTCTTGTGAACATGAATCTGAACTGTAGAACCTATAGTTGGTCCCAGGAGCTGAATTACTACTGGTGGTAGAAACCACCACTGAATTCTCTGTTTTTCGTAAGTCTACAGAAAGACAACAACAACATCACATTAGTGTAGCCTGCTTTCCCCTCAGGATCTGTAGTTGTTCTTGGTGACCTTTGCTTAGCTTTTAACAGTTTTCAGGTTTTTTTCTAACCAGTGTCAAAGCCAAACTCTGTGTTTCTTGGAGTGTCTTTGTTGCAAATCAATGTAGGTGTGGAGGGAATCTAATCTTCACATTAATTATTTCATTAATCTTAACAGAAATGACTTCTTTTTTTACATCTTCTTTTTATTCCCCATTTTTCCCCCAAATTAAGATCTCGGCCTGTGATAAGCATTAGAAGAAACATTACAGTACAGCCTGATAGAATTGATCTCAAGAAAAAGAACCCTGAGGACCATGGTGAAATCAGGTAAATGAAGAAAGAAATTACTCTATCAGAAGCCTTTGTATTGAGCTTTTTACTGTTAAAATTCATTCAGTGATATGTTTAAGTGAAGGGATGTGAGAGTTATGCAGGTTAAGGAAAGGCATTGCATATGTTAATTCTGACTTCCTGAATTTCTTCAGGCTGCTGTGCTAAAGACAAGGTGTGGAATATGTCCTTCTCATAATGTTCATTTTTGAATATGAATGTCACCTTGCTTCTTCAGACTTTTAACACAAGTATCTTGGCTTGAACAGCTTTGTCCTGAGTAGAAGCATAAGAGCAAATGCTTAATTGCTTATTAACATTTTTTCTTGCTTTATAATTCAGTCTAGTAAGCAGTAAATACCACAGTCATAAGACTGATCAGTTAAAATGTTTCGTTCTGTTGGACCATGCCTTAATAAAAGTTAATACTAATTTCTTGGCACTTTTTACAGGATGGATGTGAAAGCATGTTTTAAATATACTGCAAACCCCAGACATTTAAATCCAAGAATAAGTAAGTTCTGAAGATAAATATTTTTGATCTGTTTGTCAGATGGGTTTTTTTTTTTTTTTTTGTTTTTTTTTTTTCTTTTCAGAATTCATCATGGAAACATATTACTCAAATTATAGTGACTCATCTCAGACAGTGACTGACAAATTTAAAATGTGACTCAGTGCTAAGCTCAGCTGTTGCACAGTCTGAATTTAGAGTCATGCTGGTGTGTTAAGCTGTTCTGTGGATGACAGACTAAAGCTTTCTAAGTAATACAACTGCCAGTGAGCAAATGGCTTCTATACAGACCCAAACCATTTTGTCCCTCTAGGTTAGTGCTTCTTTAGAGAACTGTAAGTCTGTTTTAAGGCCGATTTTGTACATTAGTGAGCATTATTTCTTATTGGAGCCTTACTCGATGAATGTATCCTGTATTCATGAAAATGGTTTTGTGCAAATCATTAACTGAAATAAAAAAGTCTGCGTTAATAGGATAAGACTGGAACACTGTGCCATAAAGATGTAAAGCACTTGTTACATTGCTGCAGTTACTACCTCTTGGAGAACTGTGTAGGCTTTTGAGAGGCAATGAGAAGAACTTTAAGCCCAATAACCCTTTTTCTCCTGTGTTGTCTTGAGTTCCTCAGTTATTTTTAAAATCCAAAGGCTGTGCCCGAATGAGTGCTGGTCCTTTAGCAGGTGAAGTGCTGGCAGCTCTCAGTGCCTTGGCACGCTCAGCGCTGTTTCTGTCTGTGCAGCACTGAATTAGCTCAGTGAAGCAATCATTAAAAGATGCATCAAGTTCAGATCTAGGAATACATGCCTCAGCACACAACTGGACAGCTCTAGTTGTACTTCTGCTTTCAGTGTTCAAATTGCCAGTGTATCTTGAGCGAATCTGCTGTCTCTCAGGTGCCGTGTGGGACGCAGCAGGAATCCCTTACGGCGCAGTTGGGGTATTTGCAGTGGGTAGCTCAGCCCTCTGCTGGCTCCGTGCAGCAACTGCAGCCCCCCAGCCCAAAGGAACGGTTTACTTACGGGGTAACAGGACTTGGTTTAGAAATTCTCTTTAGATTCACACACGGAGTACCTGGCCCTCAACTGTGGCACGACAAAACTGACATGGAGGAAGTTTTTTTTTAAATGACTGAAAACAGTTTATGAAGCCCAGCACTGTCTGGAACAGTCTTCTAGAATAATGCTTAAGATCGTATCTGGTGAAATTAAAGTTGTTTTAAAATGGCAATGATTCTTTTTTTATAGTAACCTACTTTAATTTTTCACAGAGATCAATTACACGTTTGAAGTGGAAAACGAGAGGCGGCAGCTGGGCCTGCCCTCCCGGGTGCGCTTCAGTGACCACTCCTCTGATCAGTTCACTGCAAGTGCAACCCTCAGGGGACAGAACTCATGGGAGTGTGTGACTACAAAGCTTATACTGCACGTAAGGGAGAGGATTTTATTTATCTTTCATTTAGATGCACTTAAAAAAAAAATGCTCTTTTTTTAAGCAGCCTCATGGAAGGAACCTTTTTATATAATTTTGTATATAATTTCAAAGTCATATGCAATAAAGACTTCAAAAATAAAAACCCACCATAGTTTACTATTCTCTGCACACTTGCTGCTTCCTCCTGTTGTCTTTCTTGCAAAGTATGGATAAAAAGCAGCCAGTGCAGCACACTCTGGAGGTCAATAGAGCTGAACTAATTTAGAACAATAGAGAGGGACTAAGTTCCAGAAACAGAGAGCTGCTTCCAGCAGAGATAATTGTTACAGAATTTTATGGTGTGACTGTTCAGGAAAAGAATTTCAACCCATGGGTTTTGGAGTGGACGAATGGGCAAGGCAAGGAAGCTTGGTATGTGCTCTCTTGGCTTGGCTGCTGTAGTGGTGCCTAGAGGTGGTCCTGCTCCAGAGGCTAAACAGATTCCCTCTCCATGGCTCAGCAGCCTCCAAGGCTGCTTTTGATCACAGCAGATTAAAGAACTTTAATTTATAGAATAGAATCATAAAGTGGTTTGGGTTGAAAGGAACCCTAAGGATCATCTAATTCCAGCTCCTGTGTCAGGGGCTGGGACACCTTTTACTAGACCATGTTACTCAAACCTGTTCCAGTGTGTTATTTTACTATAGCTATGTGAATTTCACCTGCCTGAACTACTGTCTGTGGTTCATGGAATTCTTAATGGTGAGAGAAATTTTCAGATTGGGAAACCAGAGGAAAAAAAAGACAATAGTGCTGGGCTCTTTGTGTTCCTGATTTTAGAAAATGCTGAATTTACATAGAGCACAAAAGCTCACCTTTGTGTTGTTTTTTCTTTCTCTGCACTGTATACTAATGATGCAATTTAAAATATTTTAACAGGAAAAAATTAAAGATAAGCTACGTCCCATTCCAATATCAGTCAGTGTTAAAATTGCTGGCCTGGAGTCACCATCCAGGAGAAAAGAGAGTGCACTTCCAGATCTTACACCAATCCTAAATTCAAATGAATCTGAAACAGAGACCACAAAGGTAAGCCTTTGGTATCACATATTCACAAAAATCTGTGCTGCTACAAATAACTTAAAATAATTAATAATTAAAAGACTGTAGAAAACAAAATTATGTCCAAAGGAAATAACTGGGGTGGCACTGGACATGTAACTATTGGATTACTGTATTTTGTTCTGAACTTGTTACAAGATGTTATGAACTATGTACTGTGTTCTGCATCAAAAGTGAAGATGGTATATAGCTCCTCGGTTTCTTCCCTCTCCCCAATAAGTTTAGGAGGAAATGTACTTTTGATTAAAAATAGAAATTCATTGTCCCCTGCTGGGAACATTTGTCCAACATAACAAGATAATGTACATTCTTAATTCTTCCACTGTTAGGATGCTGGAATAGCATTTGAGCAATGACTGCAGCAGTGACATAGAAGGGAGGGAATAACTCCATTAAAAATTCTCATTTCCTCAGTGTTTATTGAAGAATCAGACTGAAAGATGTATTTTCTCATAAGAAGTGTACTTCTCATTTAGAATATCCAACTGTCCTTTTTAGTCACATTTAAAGTTCTAAACTACCAGCATCAAGGGCTGTATCTCACAAAGCAAAACTCAACAGGCAAGAATTAAGTCAGGTTAAAATCTGAACTCTGTCCAGGAAAGTGCCTTGTGAGTACCATGTAGATGCTTCATTCAGTGTGCTTCAGAAGCCTCATTTTAAGCTACTGTTGTGTGTGTCAGGCAGTAAAATTGGTTTGGTTTTATTTAGGTGGAGTTCTTAAAAGAAGGATGTGGAGAAGACAATGAATGTCACAGCAATCTTAAGCTTCAGTACCGGTTTTGTACGAGAGAGGGAAATGAAGACAGGTTTACTTATTTACCACTGTAAGTCTCGATTAATGCACTTTTAAAGTTCAAATTATTAACGAGTCCTTAAAGGAACTTTTAGGAGAGGCTTTTGGGAAAGAGAGCAGCTTTTTTCTGTGTCTGGCAAACACAGCCCTTGGTAGTAGTATTGATTTGTCAGGGTGAGGAAAGGGGGCAGAGGGGAAGAGCTTGAGAAGAAAAGTGGTTCAGAGTTGAATGGGTACTAAGTGGCCATAATAGTGCAAGGGTGGTCTAAAAGAAAAAAAAAACAAACCAATTTAAGACCTGGAGAAATTATATTCTAAACCAGCCTTGCAGTAGTTTATTGTGTGACACAGTTAATTATTTTGCAGATGAAACTTGACTGTATGACAGCTTGATAGAGTATGGTCTCATAGCCCAAGAGAAGTTGTTACAGAGAAATGCAGTGATGATTTAATTTTAACACATGCCCAGCACCTTGCTGCATCCCTCCTCCCTGGAGGGCCAGTGAAATTCGAGCAGGGGTAAAACAAGCACACAAACGTTTATTTACTGCCAGCAGACATTTTTAGCAGTGAGTGCCACATCAGAAGCCAAACCCATGTATGCTTTACAAGAATAAAGCAGGTCAGTAGATTGATTGGGAGAAAATTCATCACTACATGAGTCAGATGCAAGTGCTGGTTCAGAAATACCATAAACTCCTCATTACTTGAGGGATTTATCAAGTTCTTCCTCTTCACTACTGGCCGCTGTCAGATGAAATACTGACTGGTGTGGGGGAAAAGCCCTGTGACTATGCATGGTCATAATTTTACTATAATTCTCCCTTAAGAAGAGGAAATTGGATTTGGATAAACAATCATAAGAAGCAAACTTGCATACACATTTGTTTTCCTAATGCACAGAACCCTGTACATTCTGTTTCTGTAGTGAAAATGGCATGCCAGTGCTTGTTCTAAAAGACCAGAAAGATATTGCCCTGGAAATAACTGTGACAAACAATCCATCTGATGTTAAAAACCCACAGAAAGATGGTGAAGATGCATATGAAGCTAAACTAATTGCAACTTTCCCAGACAGTCTGACATACTCTGCATTCAGAGAGATGAGGGGTTATCCTGTAAGTATTTTTAAGAGAAAAAATACTGAAATTTAAAATATTTCCAGCATATTTTTACTTGTTAATGTGTTCTGTTTAATCAGGAAAAACAGCTAACATGTGGTGCTAACCAAAATGGTTCTCAAGCAGAGTGTGAACTTGGAAATCCTTTCAAAAGAAATTCTAATGTAAGTTGCACTTTACTCTAGTTGTACAATCTCATTTTGACTGACTGCAGTCATCCAAAGGTCCTGTGTGTCGCAACTGGAAATTTAATTTGGATCTGTCTTTTTAACTCTAGAACTTAATACTGACATTTTCTATAAAATTTAATGTATCAATATATCTTATAAAGAGCTCATGTATTTCATTATCTTCTTTCTTGTTTAGGTAACCTTTTATCTGATCTTAAGTACCACTAAGGTTAATGTTGATACAACGGATTTAGACATTAACCTGAAACTGGAAACGTAAGTTTTCTTCATGTGCATGCACCTGCACTTTGCTTTGATACACAGTTGTAGACATTTTGAATTTGTTTGATTCACAGAGGTAATTTTAATAGTATATTAAAATCACTAAATTTGTAAAATAAACACCATTGTTTCCTTTTCATTGTAGAACAAGCACTCAAGTTAATTTGACTCCAATTACTGCTAGTGCTAAAGTGGTTCTTGAATTGCTTTTATCACTCACTGGGTAAGTGAGGATAGCATGACAGATTGGGGGGTCTGGGGACAGTTGTGCTTCAGACTCATTAAAATCTGATTATTCTCCTTTCCCACCCCCACCTGAACAGAGTTGCTAAGCCTTCTCAGGTATATTTTGGAGGTAACATCATTGGCGAGAGTGCAATGAAATCTGAAGATGATATTGGGAACCTCATAGAGTATGAATTCAGAGTGAGTAATTTAGATTAATGCCAACAGCTGTTTTTAATCAAATGCACAGCTTATTGCTTTATGCATACGAACACTTAGAAAAGTTGCTATAATGAAGTTTGCTTTCTTTTTCCCAAAATCCTGACTTCCTGTTCAGAATGTGCAGTTTGACTGCGGGCTAAAGCTTCTTTAGGCCTTGATATTTTATGATCATATTCTGAGGAACTGCCTGAGGCTGCCTGCACACTGCTTTTGGAGCAGTTCATGCACATTCAGTTGTCAGGTATAAAAGCCCCTGCAGGGAGGGAACAAAGTTAAAGCAGAACCTGCCTGGGGCCTGCCCAGGCTTGGCTGGTACACACAGGCAGCAAGAGCAGGCTGAGCACAGAGTCAGTGCAAGGAAATGACTAAGAAATTAAAGTCCATCTCTACTTCTTTCTTTACCTGGTCCATGTATTATAGCAGCAGCAGTTAAAATATCTGATTTAGACCTTGCTAGCATGATCAGTAACACTAACGAAGTAAAAAAAAGAGGTTGGGAAAAAACTTCCAGACTTACAAGAGCAAGAGCTTGTTCTCTGTGTCAGAGTTCATCAGAAACTTGCAGTTTGCCTCAGTTATGCAACTGACTGATTTGTTAACACTGAATTGAGTTGTCATTTCACACAAAGATTAATTTATAAAAATCAACAACTAAAACTTGTCCAAGTCAATAGTGTTTTCAGGAACTAAATCCCTCTGAAAAGTATTTCACAGTTTAAAGAATGTTTATTTTTAACAGGTAACTAACTTGGGCCGACCACTGAAAACATTTGGCACTGCTTCCCTTGACATCCAGTGGCCAAAAGAAATTAGTAATGGCAAATGGCTGCTTTATTTGATGAAAATAGACTCCAAAGGCTTGGAAAAAGTCTCCTGTCAACCCGAGAATGAAATCAACAGTTTGCATGTTGCGGTATGTTACCCTGTCTTCTCTTGGTGAATTGGTACAACGTGGAAGCACGCCACAGCAAGTGAGAGTAAGGCACGAGAGCTTGCCTCTAGAAGAAGTTACTGTTTATCTGAAGCAGCTCACAAGCACAATACATGACCAGTGTATCAGTGAATAAGGCTATCAGGAGAATTCCTAACAGCTAATGAGCTGATTTGCTGAAGGATAGATGCTGTGACACAATGACTGTTTTTGCAATGGGCACTGCTGTAATTAGGCTCTTATACAGGATGAAACTGCTGACTGTTCTAACAGATTTCATCAGTATTATTGAAAACTGCTCAGTAATAAAAACACCTGAGTTCTTACTCAAAAAACAATAAATAACGAAGTATCTTCCCAGCCTAGGGGCATTCCATGTTCTTTTTTTGAAGACAAGGGGCTTGAACTTAAATTTATTTATTTACAACAATTATAATAAAAAGCAATTTTCATTGTCCTGGATTGTGCCTATCTAGCAAAATCTTTTTCCTTAAAACTTAAGCTGCATTTTTTCCTTCTTCATATAATCTTAAGATTATATGGGAGGAGTTTTTATTTTCCACCATTAAAACTGCATGCACAGAAACCTGTTTTTCTCAGATCATTGTATTAGTTAATATAACTTGGAGTGTAATTAGTATATAGTTAAAAAACCTGTATCTACTGACCTTAGCACATTCGTACTCTTTTAACAGAGTACCATTAATACCCTTTATCTAGAAATATAAATGGAAATAGCATTGAAAGCTTTATGAATCTAAACCTCTGCTTGCCCTATTAAAGAAAATAGTCTGTTGGCCTTTCTTTTGGTAATCTCAAATTTTGTTCTTACCAGTAAATACAGGTAAGTAGAGATATATAATGCTGTCAGTTGTGCTGACTTTGAAAGAAGAAAACACTGAGCTCTAGTTTCTCTGCTTGTATGAATTTCAAAATTCTTACGATAAACTGCGTTTTAGTTTTTTACGTTTTTTTCCTTGTAGGAATCCCATAACTCAAGAAGAAAACGTGAAGTTGCAGAGAAGCAGATTACAGACAGCCAGGCATTTTCTTTATTCTCAGAAAGAAAATACAAGACCTTGGTAAGGATATTGCAACAGCTGTATTCTTGTCAGATACCTCTCTTGGCCCTTGAAAGAGGGCTTTTCTGAGTTTGGCAGAGTGAAAGAAATTCTCTTTCCCTTCTTTTTATCTTATATCCAAATATTGATGCTTTTAAAATTTGAACATTTAGATCATCTGCTGTGAGGAAGAACTAGGAGAGAATATCTGCATAGTTACTTACCTTAAAATAAGCAAGTAATAACATCTTCATTATGTTTTCCCATTGCTGTCAGTACAAACAGTTAGTGGTTCTCGCATGTAGGTATGATGCATATAATCCAATCTTTAATCTTGGGGTGAGGTTTAACCAATCTGTGAAGACTTGATCTTATTCACATGTAGAGATCTGTAATTGCAGAGCTGCAATGTGAATGCACGCTGTGTGGATATAAAGTGTCCCCTGAAGGGTTTAGACAGCAAGGCATCTATTGTGCTGCGTTCCAGGCTGTGGAACAGCACCTTCTTAGAGGTAAGTCCTCTTACCTGCCCTTTTGGAAAGGTTAGAGTTCTTTCCTGTTCTGTGTCTAATATTCGTGTTTTATTTTGGAACAGGAGTACTCCAAAATGAATTACCTTGACATTGTTGTTAGGGCTTCTATCAGTGTTCCTGCTGCAGCTAAGAATGTTAAACTCACAAATGAAGTTGCTCAGGTAGGTTCAGTGTTTGTGCTAATCACATGTTATGGTTGTGGTTGTTCTAAAAAAATTTAAAACAAAACTAGCTAAAAGTTTAACTTTCTAACTGAGTTTTGAATAATTGATAATTTTTACCTTTTAATTGGGTTGAAAAAATTCATTACCATAATCAAATGATACCAGAGGGAATTTTTTCTTTAAAAGCATTTTGTAGAAGACATCTTGTTAGAGGAGAGGTAAGATTGTATAAATTGCAGCTTTCTAATGAAACAAGTACCTTCTAACATACTCCTTCCACCTGCACATTTTCTGTCCCTAGGTGCGTGTTACTGTATTTCCTGCAAAACCAGTGGCCCTTTATACAGGAGTTCCATGGTGGATCATTGCGGTGGCTATCCTTGCTGGAATACTCATGCTTGCACTCTTGGTATTCTTACTATGGAAGGTGAGCTTTTATTAATGTGGTTATTTCTTATTTTCTGGTCTATAACTGACAAGATAGCAAACTAATTAAGTATTTGGGACTCAAAATAGGGCAAAACTGCACAAATCATGCATTATCAGTTTCTCAGTTTTGCAACACTTGGAAGGAAAATGGTTGTACACGCAGACTTGTCACATAAAGTTTCTGTTTTCACGTCCCAAAAGGAAGTATTTTGAGCTCCAGACGAAACTTGAGACAAATGTTCAGAGGCCATAGTTTGATCCAGATGGATGGAACCACTGGGAGCCTCTGCAGTTAGGTGTAAAACGTCATGTGAGCTATATACAAATGCTTTAGTAGGGAGCTGTTCTCATAACATCAGAAATACCATTAAACTGATAGTAGATAGAAACAACCAAAAGCACAGTATTAATACATAGCCATGTGTGCTGGTGAATTTCTTATTATTGCTTTTTTGTTAGAAACCTTAAAGAAATAAATAAAGAGGTATAACAAATGGTTAACTATTTGCAAAAGAAAAAATCAAGTATCTTTTTTCTAATTACCTTTGTAAAAATGCCAATTATTTCTGGTCCCAAGTACAACAGAGCAATCCTTTTATCTGTAGTTTTTATAGGTGTAGGCAGTTAGTATTTGCTGTTATGGGACAGCAGAAGGTTATTATGGAAGAGGAGGTGAAGAATATCCTATCTGTCACTTTTTTCCCCAGTGAAACTGCAGCAGTTAGCTTTGAGGAGCTATTTGCTGTAAGTTTCTTCCTATAGAATAGTCCTGATTTCCTTATTTTCTAAATAATGCCCAGCTGCTCCTGTAAATACTCTTGATGAATGTATAGTGGGTAGGCTGTTAGGTTCTAACTACTAGTGTTCTACTGTGCATGAAAATAACAAACATTTTTCACATGCACACACAGTGAAAAATGCTGGTTTTGATGACACAGACTGTGATGTTCTGTGAAGGACAAACATCAGACTGGAAAGACAGATACATCATTGGTTTAAGACAAAAGCTTCTATTGAAGGGGCCAAAGCAGTAACTGGTTTTCTTCTGCACCCTGTGGTTTTGTCTGTCCCGTGCAGTTGTCCACAAACAGGTTTCTGTATAGGCTTCTTTCTGCTCTTCACAGCCATGTTCACTTGCTGTGGACATTAGTGTAGCTTTTCTTAAAAAAAAACCCAGATTCTCTACAAATTTATCAAAATGTCTCTGAAATAATATTCTCAGGTTAGTCTGTTAATAACCAGGTTATTTTATTCTGTCATTGTATAGATCAAGTTAGCCCAAGAAGTTCTCAGGTCTAGAAACAGCTGAGTTCTTGTGATGACTTTTTTATTTTTGTTTCTTTGGCCTGTGAAGGGATAATGGGAAGACAGTTGACAAACTTAAGTCAGTTTTAATAGGTTTGACTTCTTCCAGTCCCCAAAAATGACTAAATACCTTGCTTCCTTGTAGTGTGGTTTCTTCAAGAGAAATAAGAAAGATCATTACGATGCCACATATCACAAGGCTGAGATCCATGCTCAGCCATCTGATAAAGAGAGACTTACTTCTGATGCATAGTACTGATCTACTTCTGTAATTGGTAACTGATGATGTTTTTTAATTTCTAGCTGTGGCACATGCTATGGTTGCAGTGGCTAACTGTGAAGCTTCTTCTGCATAAGTTCTATTAACTTTTGGATTTCAAGCTGTCATACTTGCTTGCTCCTTCTGTTGATAGATTTTCAGCTTTTGGTGCATGTGAACACACAGAGGTTTACCCTGGTCTAAAATGCTTCTTTTTTTTTTTTTTTTTTTTTTTTTCAAAAAAACATGGTGATCTGGGCTTCAGTGTTTTTTTTTAATTTATGCTTTAACATTACAAGTAAGTCTTTAAGCTTGCAAGATGGAAATCAACACTGTAGAGTTAAGATGGAAAGATAAGACTACAGCAACAATACATAAATTTGCTTTACTAACCTTTAGTGCATGCTGTACATGTTGCTCACATCGGAGAAGGGTTTTCATGGTGAGAATTTATTGCTGTGGAAACATCTGTTTTACTTGAGTTCTTAGGTGTACTTCTCTAGGAACACACTTTGCTGAAGTTAGAAGATGCATGATGGTTTATGCTTCCAGCAACCTCGATTCCACTTAAGATATTACATGCATGTACATTGTATCCATAAGTGTGCTTGGATAAGGGAGTGGGGAGGAATTCTTTATTAATTATTTCAAAACAGTATTTAATGAAACTATGAGATGGCTAAAGATTTGGTCTTTGCTCACTGTAATTTTTTAAAATTCAATTCTAAGTTCTAATATTAAAAAACCCCCAAACTGTTGACCAAACAGAACCAGAAAATCCAGCACCCTAAATAGTATGAAAGAAAACTTGCTTGCTTTAACATGTTCTTACCCCCGGCCGTATCTAATGACAGCTGGATGGCACAATGTCTCTTAACCTGAATCTTGGTCCATAAGGATGATCTGTGATCCATAAGGATGTAAAGCTGAGTGTGTAGCAGTCATTATCTTTGTATATTGTGGCTATAGCTCCCTTTTGTTTTGGAAATTAATTTTAGTCCATTCCTTGATATTCACAATCAGTTTTTACAGCAGCTTTGAATAAAAACTGCGGATTGCAAATAAGCTGTTACAGGTTTCATCCAGGGTGACTTTCCATGGCAAGCAAGACTCATGCTTCTAATACAGCGTATGTGTAGTTAGTTCAGGTGACTGAAGTGGAAATGGTGCTTTGAAAACGACGGCCCTTAGGGTGACTTTGAATGTTCTGGAAATCTTTCTGTAGGTTCTTAAGGGTAAATCATGTCATCATACAGAAAGACACTGAAGTACACACCTGTCTTTGATTCAGGAGAAGCAGCTTTCCTGTGTATAGCAGTAAATGTCCTTATTAGATGAATGAACAGCTTTGTACTGAAGGAAATCTTTTTAAGGCATTTGATTACCATGGATAGACAGAGCATGCCCTTTGTCTTTAACTGCTGCTGAACAGCTAATACAGACCTCTTGGCTCACATTTTGACAGCTAAATATGCTACATAATTTTTTCAATTTTCTTACCTGTATATTTGCATGAAGGAAGAATTTAGTGCCTCTGTAGTTGTAGTACTTTGGCAGCGACTTACACCTGAACTGTTGTTTCCCTCCTTTGCGCAGTGCGGGTTCTTCCGGCGTTCCAGGTACGAAGACAGCGTCCCCCGCTATCACGCTGTAAGAATTCGAAAAGAGGAGCGACAGATCAAAGATGGGAAAAGCCAAGACCTTGAGACAAAACAGTGGTTCACCAAATGGAATGAAAATGAAAGTTATTCTTAGGCAAAAATGTTGTTCATCCACAAAGTTCAGATAGAGGTTAAGGTTGTCATTCATGGAATACTGATGGAGTTAGACCCGTGAACACTACGGACATTCATCATTTGATTGTAGATATTACTACTTATATTGAGGCTTTTATTTGCACAGTTAAAATGGCTTCAACAGACTTCATTTGCCTTATTTAATTTCCACACTGCCTCTACATCCCCCTTAAATCTAACCCACACTTCAGATAATATTATGCTGATGTGGGGTCTTTCCTGCAGAATAAGCAAAACCACTACAGCAGACCTTTTGATCCTCCTGTGATCCTGACTTTCTTCCTAGTTATTTAAGGCATGCATGATTAAGGTCAAGATGAGTTCTCCATTGTTCCCTCAATGCACAGTGCTTTACAAACACACAGTGGCCTTATCACACTTCATTAAAGTATAACTGAAGACCTGCAAGTCTGCTTTAGTCGTAACCTTTGCCTGCTGCAGTAGTTAGGGCTTAACAAAAAGCATCATCTTAAATTACGCGTGCAATGGGTCATGTTGCTTGATTTTGGGTTATTTTTTTTTTAAGAACAGACTGTGTGATTCTTGCTCACACCAAATAAACACAGGTTTTTTTTTTTATTGTAAGAGAGGCTTGAATATTAGATGTACTTTCTGTATATATATATTTTAGTCATTTTTGTATTTATTTTTATTTTAAATCATTGTCTTTGACTAACTGGTAGGCTGAAGACTACTGAATTTTTAAATCCACTGTTCTGGTTTTTGTGTTTCTGTGTTTCAACTTCAAAGTATGAGACCTGAGGCTTTCACTGCATTTTAATAAATCACTGAAGGTGCCAGTGCTTTCTAAAATGTAAATATTTATGCAAATGATGTGTATGGGTGCTTTCTTTTCCTGATGCTTGTAACGTCAGGTCCTGTAACATGATTTGTATATTACTGTGGACTGTTTAACAATTTGGACGCCAAACTGAAGTAATGTTTTAGATGCCATTTTATACTCACTGCAAGAAAGTGAAAAGTCCTTTGGAAACCTCTTTCCAGCTTCACAAGGACTTCGGGGTTGGCAAAAGGCCTTGACTACTGCAACTGCTGTACAGCACTTGGAGGCTACAGCTGCCTTGCTTTCCTGCACTGTCGGATCTGAGCTGATCCACGTTGAGACTACTGAATCATCTTGAATACCTGAATGTTGATAGAAGCAGAACCATGTTATTAGTAATCTGGTTATTGTAACATAACTGAGAAAATGATTTAAAGAGTTTACTTTTTTACCCATATTCTAAAGCCTTGGTACTATTTAAGAATAAAGATTTAGCTCACAGTTGTTTATTCCACGTGGAACAAGACTCTGCTCAAAAAGTATGCATGTTAATTGCTTCTACTATGAACTATGCAAAAACCTCTTGGTACTTTTTCCCTTTATAGGGTAAAAACCTGCTAGGAGGGCAGTTGTCAAATATCTTATTTTTACTGCTAACTTTGAATGTACCTTCTTGGAAGGTGTGGTCACCTAAAAAGTTACCTTTAGTGTTAACTAAGATGAGTCCATTAAACTAGATAATCTCAGTATGTTATGACCCTGACTTCATGAGGCTTACATAATAATTATGTATTAATATATTTAGATATTAATACATAATTATGTATTAATATATTTTAGAATCCTAGCTTATTTGCTTAAAGGCTCAGCAGCATCAGAAGCCAGGCTAATCAGGGGCTAAGAAGCTTAAGAAATACTCCTGAGTATACAATCAGATTGTGGCCCTCATCTAAGAAAATGAATGTCTTAGCAGTGTTAAAATTCTTGAGAAATAAGTCACGTCACTGGTATATTTTTATCTCAAACTTCTGTTATACCAGCTAAGAATGCTACATCATTCCATGATTAGAAGTTACCTGTGGATATTTGTATAGGAGTGTGAAATAAATTTTTTTGAATTAAAGATGGTCTTGGTAATAGTTATTTTACCACACTTAAGTGAGGTGGCCACAGAGAAGTTCCCTAGAAGAACAGGCTGGAAGTGGCAGGCTTTAACAAGTTCTCTCTGAGCACTGCGTAGCTCCCGCTGCCCTGCTCCGTGCAAGGGCAGATCAGGAGCAGCAGGAGCCAAGCACAGTCTCAGGCTCTCTGTGCTCGCTGCCTTTGCCAGCACTGGCAGGAGTCAGGGCAGCACGTGCCAGCTCCCGCCAGGACAGCTCCTCTCTCCCCTCTCCATGCTTGTGTTCATGCTGCCCCAGAGCCCTTCCTTGCAAGCAACCTCCTAAAAATCTACTTAAATAGTGCCAGACAAGTATTTGAGTAAGTAGTGGAGATGGATACATCCCCCAAAATTGGTCAAGGACTTTTCATACCTATTTGTAGTTAGCAGTGGAAATTTGATGTAACACAATTGCAGGGTAGTTTTGAGTCCACCAAAAATGCCCTATGGAAAAGCCAGAATTATGCAGGGAAAAATCCCATCAAACCCAACAGACAAAATGTGGCTCCACCTCTAAGATATCAGCCCTCACTGGATGCTTTTACTCATTGTTGGTGAAAGGTCTTTTGATGCAACAAAGCCTGAAGAAAAAGGTTAGCTGGATATATGCTAGGCCACTCCTTGTTGTTGAGGCCAAGAAACTTCCAGAACTAGACCCTTCAGAGCATCTCAAAGATAAGAACTCAACCTGCTCTTATTAAGCAATTATGCTCCTTTACATGATGGCCACAAACATTGGTCTACAAGAAGACAAAATATCAACTGGCAGAACAGTTAAGTAGCTGATCATAGTAAGTTTTGAACAAATCTATCATATTTGGCTTTATATGTATGCTTATACATTCCATACACATACATAATAGTACCAGGTGTAGTCTGCACATTATATACAGTGGTACAGCACTCTAACAGTGTATGTGTACCAAATGTATGCATATATGTGATATATAAAATGTTCACTACATATAGTGTGTGTTTTACATCTGTACAAAAATATACACACTCTATATCGTCCAAAGTACAGAAATAGAATGTTGGTAAACTGCAGTACTTTCCCATGTTTAACTGCTGCAGCACAGCAGACAACTTATAAGGGAATATACCTTTCAATTTAAGGGACCAGCACAGCTCAGTTCCAGTAGCCATCTGTCCATAAGAGTTATATGTGGAAAAAGAGAGGCAACAGGGCGCTCAGTTGGACACAAATCAAAAATCGGCACATGAGGTAAATGGGAATTTCTAAAAGGGGCACTGAACCACCAATCCCCCTAAAGCACCCTTGTTGCAATGGCTGCAGTGTGGCTTGACTCCACAGACTGCACAGAACCAGAGAGCTGCTCACGTTCAACAACTGCAGCAGCTTGTGCCAGCACAAAGCAGTCGGTGTGCAGAGGCCAGGAGACCAAGCTGTGACGGAACCAGCAGGCAACTGCAGGCAGTGCTCTGAGGCAGCACAGCCTCGGGACACGCTTGGGCCTCAGCAGGCAGCACAGCTGTGTGGCACGGGAAGAGCGCGAGCGTGTTTCCCTGTAGGGACTGTGTCACCAGTTGCTTTAGTTTTCTACTCCAGTCCTCAGATACCTTTCAATGTCTATCTTTCCAGGCCCCAGAGTCGTAATTCATACTATACACCTTTTACAGGCTCATAAACCTTGCTGAGTCCTAACCTTGTAAGCCTTGTAAAAAAAAACCACCACAAAACTCCTTATCCCAAAAGACTGCTGCTGTAACGGGCCTTAAACCCCAGCCAAGGTGGGACATTGTCACCATGAAGGGGTTGGGGACCTGCAGTTTGCATTCTTCATATTGCAAGACCCCTTTCTTTCTTTTCTAGCTCTGCAAAATGTTTGTTTGCAAGCAGCACCTTTTCAGGGCCCTACCTGCCTTAAATATCTCAGAAAACACAGAGAACAGATTTTTGCAAGAGGTGTCCTTGCTGCTGCAGACCAAGATAAATCCCCTTCGTCACTGATACACAATCCTAACCATGTATTCTATCCCTTAATCCCAGCATCTTGGGGGGATAGGGAAGGAAGGGACAAAGGAGTCAAATACTTTTGCTAGGAACATATCAAATAATGCAACTGATAAGTTGATTAAAAGAAATGTCTGCAGGATACTGCTTGTTTTCTTGAAGTGGAGGGGTCCAGCAGGGTACCCAGCACAGAGCCAAGAAGTGCATCACTGCCGGCCTGCCTGCGAGGCACTCTGAGCAATTCCAGCTTAGCAAGGAGGAGCAACATGGAAGCAGCCACCCTGGAGCACCCAAAACTGATGGCTTCCAATAACACCTTATCAAACAAGAAACTCTTTCCATGTAACACCCTGCAATATTAGAACTTAAAAAATAAATTAAATTGAAATTCAACAAAACATTGTGTTTCCAGTTCTTTTGAGGTCTGAATTGTTCTGTCCCATGTAAATTATTGATCCAGATGTATTAGAATTTCAACAACACCAATAAGCATGAATAGGAAAAATGCAAAATAGCGAAAAGAATACATTTCTCCTTTTTGGTTGGCATTAGAATTTACAGAAATTAGTACATTAGAGCTCTGGCCAGTGTCACACTGGATCACATAAGAGCAAACCCCTAGAAAATCATCAATGAGGGAAACAAGTTTCAGGAGAGAAAGAGCATTCACAGTTTTCTCCAGTATTCTAACAGAACATGTTTACATGGATCAGGATCTGATCAATTGTTTAAACAAGATGAGGAAAACTCCATTAGGTAAATAGATAAACTTTTATCCACAGTTACTTCTGTGACAGCTCATCCTGCACAACTTTTTCTGAGAAAAGTGCTCTCTGTTTACCTGAGTAGGTATGGTCCCTGGCTTACAATGAACAATGATTTATTTAACCTCTGGCAGCCTTTGCCACATCTTGTGGCTGGGGACTGCTGTCCAAAGATAAGTTCTGGCAGAAGGCCAGTTTTTAAGGCATGCCTGTAAAGCTGAAACACAAAACAACAGCACAGTAATATACACATCTAAAAGATGAAGCCAATCCAGAGCCATCATAAGAAATTGCAACAGTTTACAAAGACTCCGTGTACTGCTTGTAGGCACTGCTTTAAACTAGTGCTGGCTCACAGCTGAGAGGCCATCACAAAATGGTTCTGAGCACAGCAATTCTCAAGTACAAGTTCCAAACTATTACAAACTTGAGTAGCATGAGCTACTCCTTGGTTTTCCTGGAGTGGCCTACAAGTAGCAATAAGCAAAACCTGCATTTGTAGAAGTCTTGCAGAGACAGACAAGCTGTCTGTTTGCCCAGTTAGCCACCAGTCCCTGGCCAGAGCAGAACAAGCCATTCAGTTTGCAGCATAAAGATTAAGGGATGGTTGGATTACGAACCCGATGAAAAAAGCAGTCTCATCCTGCTTCATTCTCACATACTATTGGTGCAGTTCAGGAAAATGCACCAGGAAGCTGCATCTGGAAGCTGACTGAATCACATGTTTTCTGTATTTCAATGCCACATTAACAAGAAATAAGACAGCCTTAATGGGAGGAATCCAACAAAGCACTGAACGGATTAATGTGATTGCTGCATCAGAACTGCTCTAGTGGATGCCACAGGATATCCACCCCACTATCATGTCATAGGCAAGTCACAGGTACAAGGTTTGTTTGCAGGAAACCAATCAATATTGAAAAGTTACTTAATAAATTTATGGGACTGATACTAGTATCCACAATAGAAAAAGCAAATGAATGCAGGGCATTATCCACTGTTGATATTGTTGCTTCCTCTTTTCAGGAATAGCACTGGGAATGATACCAGCATTGGTATCTCCACTGAGATCAGGTTAGCCATCTCCACTGAGATCAGGTGAGCCATTAAAAGATTGCTTATCCTTCTCACAAGTGCAACCATTGCCAGCAGGAATCAAATTTGATTCACACATCAGCAAGTTCCCACAGGCTGGAGACCTTCACTTCTTTATTTTATTCAATACGGTAACCACAGCACACTGCACACTACGTATGTTTCTTCACTGTGGGTAAAATCTACTGTTAACAGTAATTATAAGGGAAGGTCATGAGGGCACCTTGCCCACTGAAATGCAAAAGGCAAACTGGGACAATGCTTCTTATTGAACAGCATTTCAGTATGGTGTAGTGTGGAGAGTAACTTGATGGATGGCACTGTTGAAGAGGCGTTCCTGATACATACTATTAACATTTAACAAAACCATAATAATTAGGTAACCAAAAACTTCCCTCCAATTACAACTGGAACATAGCACTAACCTGTTTATAGGCAGAGAAGCAAGAGGTGACCACCCTGTCACTCTGTGGAGCACCTGAACTGACTTCAGACATGGGGGAACTGTGCTAATGCACTCCCTCCCACCGCCCCTCAGGCCTGCTCTGCGATTTCAGGAGTTATCGCCCTCAGCTGCAGTGCAAATGAAACTGCCCCACTGTTACTAGGCTAGCTTCCCCCAAAATTTCCACTGCTTCAAAACTTGGTTTATGGCTAGGATGGAAACATATTTTTGACTAAAGTCAAGCATCTCCCGACCCAATAGAGAGCAGTACCAAGAGAGGCCCTTTGAACTCTCCCCCATCCCAGCAGGCTGTGACCATCAAGCCTGCCATACAGGAAAGACCATCCTCCTACAGCCCTCAAGGAGCAACTCTTGCCTGCTGAAAAATGTAAACTGAACTCAAGGGGAACTTTTCATAGTCACTTTGTACACAGGTATAGATAGATGCACACACCTCTGTGCCTGCGTGTGAATTATGGCCTGTGTAGTAACTAACAGAGTAAACCTTGCCTTCAAACTCTGCTAGGGCACAAGCTTAAACTCCTATCAAATACTAAATTATTGAAGCAGGTATGTTTACCAAAACAAGGGTAGAATTATGGAAAAATTAATATTATTTGAAAGTAGCTAAGTGCTTGCTTGGCATAAGTAGCTAGGATTATTATAGCAAGCTGAGCTATATGGC